AACGACCCAGTGAAGCCCGGGGGGCGGCGCAGCCAGATCTCCTCGTGCAGGCTGCCCTGCAAGAAAGCTGTGCTGAAGTCAAGAGAGTGAAGCTCGTAGTCACGGTGAGCAGTGTCAGATTATGTTATTTGTCTAGCCTGCAGTGGGGTGCTCAATAGTGAGTACAACCCCTTAGGGTTTCCTATATGTATCCTGCTGCTTGCTAGTTCAAATCATCATTCCCATTCTCACTTCTCCAATTCTCCTTCGTATACCACAAACCCTAGTCCTAGGGCACAACCTACTACCTCCTACTGTGGCCTAGGCTACTAAGCCTAGGCCACGCTCCTATTCTTCCTGACATGGTATCTAGAGCGGGCAAGATCCTGCTGCCTAGCTCAACGGGCCCACCAACTGCTTCCGCTGCCCTACTGTTCGCCGCGCGCTCCGTGGTGCGCGGCACTGGATTTTTCTTCCCGCCACGCGCTTCGAGCGTGTGGCGGCTTATTCTACCCGCCGCGCGCTCGGGGCGCGCGGCGGTTATCCCGTCCGTCGAGGCGCCCTCCGGGGGGCCTGCGTGCTGCTCCCTGCCGTCGCATGGCGCGGCGCCTTCAGGGGGCCCGCCCCTGCTCGTCGCGGCGCCCCCCCCTGGGTGCCGCTCCTACTCGTCGCGACGCCCCTGCGGGATCCGCGCGGCGTCGCCCTGCTCGTCGCGACACCTCTGTGGGACCCGCGCGGCGTCGCCCCTACACGACGCGACGCCCCCTGGGCGCCGTCACTGGTCGTCGCGGCGCCTTCCGGGGGCCCGCCTGCTGCTCTCCCCCCGTCGCCCGTCGCTCGCGACACCGCCCCTGCAGCAGCTCGCGACGCCGCCCCTGCAACAGCGCGCGAGCCGCCCCTGCGCCAGCGCCATCGCTCCTGGAGCGGCCACCCCTGGTGCAGCCGCCCCTGGACTCGCCACCCCGCCCCTGGAGCCGCCGCCCCTGGTGCAGCCGCCCCTGGACCCGCGACGCCGCCCCTGGAGCAGCCGCCCCTGGTGCAGCCGCCCCTGGACCTGCGCCGTCGCCCAGGGAGCAGCCGCCCCTGGTGCAGCCGCCCCTGGACCTGCGCCGCCGCCCCTGGAGCAGCCGCCCCTGGTGCAGCCGCCCCTGTACCCGCGACGCCGCCCGTGGAGCAGCCGCCCCTGGTGCAGCCGCCCCTGGACCTGCGCCGCCGCCCCTGGAGCAGCCGCCCCTGGTGCAGCCGCCCCTGTACCCGCGACGCCGCCCGTGGAGCAGCCGCCCCTGGTGCAGCCGCCCCTAGAACCTCAGTCGTCGCCCCTGGAGCAACCGCACCAGCAGCAGCCGACCATGCAGCTGCCCGCGACGCCGCTCCTGGACCCTGTGCAGTCGCGCTCAGTCTCACTCGCGCCCTCGTGCGCCCTACCCTACCTGCTCCGCGCTGTTGCTCTGCACGCGCGGTTGCCCGCGCCCTCGTGCGCTCTACCCTACCTGCTCCGCGCTGTTGCTCTGCACGCGCGGTTGCCCGCGCCCTCGTGCGCTCTACCCTACCTGCTCCGCGCTGTTGCTCTGCACGCGCGGTTGCCCGCGCCCTCGTGCGCCCTACCCTACCTGCTCCGCGCTGTTGCTCTGCACGCGCGGTTGCCCGCGCCCTCGTGCGCTCTACCCTACCTGCTCCGCGCTGTTGCTCTGCACGCGCGGTTGCCCGCGCCCTCGTGCGCTCTACCCTACCTGCTCCGCGCTGTTGCTCTGCACGCGCGGTTGCCCGCGCCCTCGTGCGCTCTACCCTACCTGCTCCGCGCTGTTGCTCTGCACGCGCGGTTGCCTGCGCCCTCGTGCGCTCTCCCGCCCCGGCCCTCCCCCCCCCCCCCCCCGCGTCCCCTGGACAGGAGGGTGTGGGGGTGGCTCCTTGTGCGTCGCCCCTACCTTCTCCTCCGTCTCCCACTGCTGCAGCTGCCGCTGCGGGGGGGTGGATGTGTGGGAGACGAGGGAGTGGTGCTAAGGGGGTGATGTGGGCGAGAAGCGAGTGGTGACACTGGGGGTGAGTGTAGGGGGGAGTGAGACAGTTGGAGGAGGTTGCAACCTGGTGCTCCTGGTGCCCGTGTGTCTGCAACTTCAGTCGTCGCCTCCTCTCTTCTCTCCCTCCACAGTTCCTCCTCCTCCTCACTGGCCTCCTGTGACTGCCACTAGCTTTGCTGATAATTGTGAACTATTGCTGTGACTTCTCACGTGTGCTGATTACACCCCACTTTGGCTATGGGGGTGTGTCAGATTATGTTATTTGTCTAGCCTGCAGTGGGGTGCTCAATAGTGAGTACAACCCCTTAGGGTTTCCTATACGTATCGTGCTGCTTGCTAGTTCAAATCATCATTCCCATTCTCACTTCTCCAATTCTCCTTCGTATACCACAAACCCTAGTCCTAGGGCACAACCTACTACCTCCTACTGTGGCCTAGGCTACTAAGCCTAGGCCACGCTCCTATTCTTCCTGACAAGCAGCAACATGCAGCAGCACCCGAAGAGTGGTCATCTTCGGGGTGGGGGAGAAGGTCTGGAAGAAGTCAACTCCCTCTCGCTGACTGAAGCCTCGAGCCACGTAACACGCCTTGAAGACAGGCGGAGAACCCGGCGGCCGCTTCACCCTGAAAATCCACATGCCACTGACGATGTTCGCCCCAGGTGGGGGAACCTCGTCAACGTAGGTGCCTGTGGACTTCCAGGAAGCCATCTCTGCGTCCATGGCTGCCTGCCACTGAGAGGAGTAGGGACCCTCTATCGCCTCTGCGTAAGAGCGCGGAGTCGGGATGTCTGGTGCATCCGGGTCTCCCTCAGGGGCAAGTAGCGAGGACACAAGATGAGGTAAAGCAGCAGCAAGACACTGGAACTCCTCCTGCCTGTCCTCAAGGACGTCCGTGCCAAGAGCACACTCACCCCCGACGGACGGAGGACAGACAGACTCAGACTCAGCAACAAGACTGGCGGCGTAGTCTAGACGATAGGCAGCAGCAAAGTCAACAAGCTCAGCGACCAAGGCAGACGCAGCAGTAGACTCAAACGACGGGTCAGTGACAACAGTGGCTAACAGACGCGTGACAGTAGGGTGCTCAGTACGAAACCGGTCAGACTCAGGGTCCGGAACGGCAGGCAGAGAGGACGCAGGGGGAGACGGCAGAGGAACAGGCTGCGGAGCAGAGGAAGGACGACGGACAACAAGGTGTGCGCTGGGGACAGCCGGCTGACGCGCACGAGCGACACGACGAACGGTACGACCAGAACGAACAGGCGAGACAGGACGCGACGCAGGCTCACGACGCGTAGCAGGACTGCCTGTCTGCTCAGTGTAAGGAGAGGGAGCAGGTAGCGGTGAGCCAGTCTGTAACGGAAGACCAGTAGACGACGGGAGAGTAACAACCTGACGAAGAGCAGAGTCAGGCGGCGGCAGAGACGACGGAGACGGCGGAGCGAAGAACAGTCGTGTCGGCGCAGCTGCACCAGTACCGGCAGCTCCAGCAGCTCCAGTGCCTCCAGCAGCTCCAGTACCTCCAGCAGCTCCCGTACCTCCAGCAGCTCCAGAAGCTCCAGTCCCAGAGTCGACACCCCCAGTCCCAGGGTCTCCAACCTCTGTGTCTCCAGCAGCAGCACCCCCAGACCCAGCACCTCCAGTCCCAGGGTCTCCAGCCTCAGTGTCTCCAGCAGCAGCACCCCCAGAACCAGCACCTCCAGTCCTAGGGTCTCCAGCCTCAGTGTCTCCAGGGCTGCTGGACGGCGCATATAGTGCAGCACGTCACAAGGCAAGGCAAGGCAGGCAGGTACGTGGGGTAGCGCGGTAACCGCAGCGGTAGGTGGGCCCGAAAAAAAAAAAAACGGTCCTGCGGACCTTAGTGCTCTGATACCATGTCAGAATCTAGCAGCAGGAATGGATGAACTAGCAACATGCAGGAGTACAAGTAGTAAACCCTAATTGGGCTGTACCCCATATGGGCTACCCCACTACAGCCTAGACAATATGCAGCATATATGTTTGACACACGCAAGCGAAGAGATCAAGCCATACGCGCCTCGTGTACCCTATATTGTACAACGCAAGGGAAAAGGAACAGGAGCTCACGCTCCAACGACCCACGGACGGAATCATCACACACTCATGCTGCACCGATCGGAACCGGACTCAAGATACGACATTGAAGTCCGCCAGTCAACGGCTCGGTCCACCAAGTCCGTCAAAATTCATCACTCACATACCCCTCAACTGAAGGCTGCAAGCTGGAGTAGAGTGTACTCTGGTGCGCAATTGTATACCTCATACAGAATTGCACGTTCTTACCATCACATTTCTGCACGAAGTTTTTTTGCCTAGATAGCTGTATCACATTCACTACTGCTTGTCCCGCTTTAGCTCTTGACGTATACTGCTATTTGGCTTTCAAGGTTAGCAAGATCTGTCACAAGCCAAAATGTCGCAACAGGCAATCCCTGTCAGAGTCAACCCTGTCCGGACCCCACCCTCTCCCTCCCCCCTCCCTGCCGGAACTCCTTCCTTCCCCCTCCCCTCCTGACATGTCTTCTGGCCGCCTAGAGCACCATCCAAATTTCTGATTCGCCACACATGTGTTTGGCCTATCTCCTTTCCCACCCCACCCCTTCGGCTGGCACTGCAGCTTGCGCGCCTTCCAGTGGGCCTTCTGGCAGCCCCTGTCTTCAGGAGGCAATTAGGTCATTCGCACCACAAGCAAGCCTTGTTGCCCCTCCACCCCTTCCCCTTGGGCTGGATCTGCAGCCGCTCGTGCACCTTCCACTGGGCGCGCTCGCAGTCCCTGTCACAGCAGGCAGCCTGTTGACTCTTGAGTCGACTCAAAATTTAAACCACAAGCACGCCTTCTCGCTCCGCCACCCCTACCCCTTACGCTGGATCTGCAGCCGCTCGTGCACCTTCCACTGTGCGCGCTCGCAGTCCCTGTCACAGCAGGCAGACTGGCCGCACTGCAAGCATGCCTGCAACGGTTCAGAATGCTTCCCCAGCATTATGGCAGCCTGGCAATCACTTGGGCTGGCACTGCAGCTTGTGCACTCTCCAGTGGGCCTTCTGGCAGGTCGCACTGCAAGCATGCCTGCGACAGTTGAGAATGCTTACGGTTCTGGCTGCCTGGCTATCACTGTCCCTGTCGGCCTTTTGGCAGTCCCTGTCGCAGTAAGCAGCACGGCCGCACTGCGGGCAAGCCTTCAGCAGTGCCTCCTGGTTATCACTTGGCCTGGCACTGCAGCTTGTGCACTTTCCAGTCGGCCTTTTGGCAGTCCCTGTCGCAGTAAGCAGCCTGGCCGCACCGCGAGCAAGCCTTCAATGGCGGCCTTCCCAGCCCCTCCACCCGGCCACAACCGGGGTAAGAGCAGCAACGTACCCCCCCTGCTGCCACTGCTCCGCTTCCTGTTCCTCCTGTTGCAGCAGCAACTGTTGCTGCTCTTGTGCCTGATGCAGCAGGGGCAGCAGTGGAAGAGCCTGCCTTGGGTGTCACCCCGAGCCCGACCCTCCGCCCATTTGAGAGCTCCCAGTAGCACGTCTCCCCCAGCAGCATCTCCCGCAGGCATGCAAACGGGTTCACTCCCCCCACCCACGGCACCAGGTATGCAGGCGCGATCTTCAGCCCGCCTACCACCTCACTTTCACCCCCAGCAGCAGCAGAACCACCACCAGCAGCAGCAAGCATTTTCTCCACCAGAATCCCCTCCTTCCACCTACTAATCTTCTCACACCCCCTCTCCTTCTGCCTGATCTCCACACACCAGTCCCTCGCCCTCTCCTCCTCCCCAGTCCACGCCCAGCTAAGCGCCGCCTCACGTGAAAGCTCAAAAAGAGGCCACGATCGGAACAACGCGTTCCGCCACGTGTCTACCTCCTCCCAGATGAGCCACTCCTCCTTCCCCTCCCACCCGCTCCCCTCCAACTGCCTGAGCTCATCTTCCGTCCTCCGCGCTCCATCTGGTTTGGACATTTCCATGATCTGCATTTCGCCGTTGAGCCAGTAGAGAAGCATGGCTGCGGTGTAGAGGAAGTGCAGTCGCTTGTGCTCCACCACGCCTTCGAGAAGAGGAGCCACGAGGCGGTCCGGGAGCAGGTCCGGCAAGGGGGGGATCCCGAGCGTGTCTATAAGCTCCCTCCTCTGAGGAGGGTGTGGATGGTGGAAGGAGAGGGAGAGAGAGGGGAGAAGGACAGGGGAGAGAGATAGGGGGGCAATATATCCCCTCAAGCCGCCTTCAGAAGACAACAACACATGCTGCTGTGCATTTAAGTGCAGGCGCTTGTTGTGCTCCACCACACCTTCGAGAAGAGGAGCCATGAGGCGGTCCGAGACCAGCCAGGTCTGGCAGGGGCGGGATTCCGAGCGTGTCTAGAAGCTCCCTCCTCTGAGGGGGGTGTGGGTGGTGGAGGAAGAGGGAGAGAGAGGGGAGAAGGGCAGAGGAGACAGACAGCGGGGCGTTATATCCTTCAAGCTGCCTTCAAAAGACAACAACACAAGCAGATGTGTAGAGGAAGTGCAGGCGCTTGTGCTCCAGCACGCCTTCGAGAAGAGGAGCCACGAGGCAGTCCGGGAACTCTCACCTGAGAGGCATGACGGCAATAGACCGAGAGGAAGCAGCGCAGGAGCACCGAGGATGGGCGGAAAGCAAACGAGGCAACAATGGCGGCGGGGGTGACAGCCTGGTTGAACACGTTGAGGCAATGCACGCAGTGGTTGCAGGCGGGCGTGAGGGTGGTCATGGCCGTCATGAACTCCACAAACGCATCCACCTCCTGGGGGGATCTCAGCATGGGCTTTAACTTGCCCGGGGAATACGCCCCCAGGGCCAACGCAGCCCAGCTCATGTCCCTTCTCTCTCCCTTCGCCCCCCTGCTGCTGCTGCTGCTGCTGCTGCTGCTGCTGCTGCTGCTGCTGCTGCTGCTGCTGCTGCTGCTGCTGCTGCTGCTGCTGCTGCTGCTGCTGCTGCTGCTGCTGCTGCTGCTGCTGCTGCTGCTGCTGCTGCTGCTGCTGCTGCTACTTCTGCTGCTGGTGTAGGTTGTCTCTGCAGCTGTCAGCTGGAGTCGCAGCACCCAGTCGCTGATCGCTCGTGCCAGCGGCCCGCCGCGCCCCTCCTTTGCCAGCCGCTTTGGCGAGAACCTTCTCAGAAACTCCTCGACGCGGTCCGCAAGGGTTGGGAACGCGGGAGTGACCGTGCTGCTGTCACTCAGAGCCTTGGCAGCTCGATACTCCTGCAGGCCCTCTGCTGCGCTTGTGATGGCAGCGGTTCTCACTGCCCCATTCTCCTGCCGCCCCTGTGCTGCCCCCACATTGAACTCTTTCAACATCTCCTCCCGGTCGAACACAGAGTCCCGGAAACTGCCTGTCTGGAAGGTATTCACTCCCAAAAACTCCCCACTCACCGGCCCTGCAGTTCCATTTTTACCCCTCCTACCCCTCCTATCCCTTCTGTGCCTCCCAGGGCACTGCCACTGCCATGCGCCTTCAGGACCTCTCTGTCACCCACTGGAAACTCCTCCCACCCCTGAATTCCTCCTCCACAACCCGCCAAACCGTTTTCCGCGCCCACTGGCTTGGGGATGGCGCCGAACCTGACCAGCAGGCTTGGGAGGTCGTGCGCCGGGTGCGGGAGCATCAGGGCTGGTGCTTGCGGGTTGGTGCGGGTGCACTAGCTGGGGGGGTTGAGCCAGGGGCCTTGAACGCGCACCCATTGGAGGATACAGGCAGCTCGGTACGTGAAGAGTGCCACTGCTGGGTCACTGATGACTGGCACGAGGCGGGCAGCACTGCTTGCTGCACTGGTGGCAGCAGCACGGGGAGGTGGAGCAGGACAGGGAGAAGGGGAAGAAACTGCTGCTGCTGCTGCCCCTCCTGCTGCTGCTGCTGCTGCTGCTGCTAGCTTCTCTGAATCGAGATCGTCCGCTTTTTTCTCACCGCTGACATCTTTTCCTCCCCCCACCACACTCCCCTTTCCAGACTCCTCTGCTCTCTCTGCCCTCTCTGCGAGCCTCTCCGCCAGCCGCTGCCTGGCTGCCTCCACAGCAGCGTCCTCCACGTGATCCTTGTACCTGTTATTGCATGCCCCGGTAAACGCCATAACGCCGTAGATGGCAAAGCGCGGCATACAGAGTGTGAACGCAGCCCGGAGAGCAAAGTCAGTCGGGTCAACGCCAGTTATGACCATGCCACTCGCAGTACCACCACCATTACCAGCAGCACCATCCCCACTCCCCCCTGCATCCTCGCTGTCTCCTCCGCACTGCCTGCAGCTGCACCTGTACTGCTCAGCCTCCAGCCCTCCATGGGAGATAATCTCCTCCATCCGCTCCACATACTCATCCCACTCCACCCCTCTCAACCCCTCCCTCCACTTCTCTTCCTCTCCTTCCCAACCAACTCCTCCGCCTACTCCCCCTCCTCTCCCCGGTCCCCCTCTCATCCCTCCATGCGCCCTTCTTCCCCCCGGCAGCAGCGGCAGCACATGAGCAGCAAACCCCGATTCTAGTTCCTTCTTCCCTTTCACTCCAAGCACCTGCACCAGAATCGATCCAAAGCAATCCTCCTCCGCTTCCCCACCCACCTGCCTCCCTCCCCCCTTCCCCGCCTGCCTACTCGCCTGCCGTTCCGCCTGCCTGCCCCCCACCCCCCCGATCTGCCTCCGCGCGTTCAGCTGATTCGCCAGGGCTGGAAAGGCGACGTTGAAGGATTTTATGTGCAGGCGCCAGAGTGTGACTATACGGGGCAGCCTCGCTACAAGCACGAGGAAGACGACAACAGAGAGGCAGCGGCGGTAGGCGGTCCAACACGAGCTGCACTGCCAGCAGCACCACCAGAAGTGCTTCGGCGCACCGGCAGCAGCTGTAGCACCACCAGCAGCTGTAGCACCACCGGCGCTGGAAGCACGAGAGCCGGTCGCACGAGCAGCTGTAGCATCAGCGACTGTAGCACCACCAGCGGCTGAAGCACCACCAGCGGCTGTAGCACCACCACCATTACCAGCACCACTACCAGCACCACCAACAGCACAATTCCCACTCCCCTGTGCACCCTCGCTGTCTCCTCTGCACTGCCTGCAGCTGCACCTGTACTGCTCAGCCTCCAGCCCTCCATGGGAGATAATCTCCTCCATCCGCTCCACATACTCATCCCACTCCACCCCTCTCAACCCCTCCCTCCACTCCTCTCCTTTCACAGAACCAGTCCCTCTTCCTCCTCCTCCCCCCCCTCCACTCCCCGCCCCACCCCTCATCCCCCCATGCGCCCGTCTTCCCCCGGGCAGCAGCGGCAGCACATGAGCAGCAAACCCCGATTCCAGTTCTTTCTTCCCTTTCACTCCAAGCACCTGCATCAGAATCGACCCAAAGCAATCCTCCTCCGCATTTCCACTCCCCTTCCCTCCCCCCTTCCCCGCCTGCCTACTCGCCTGCCGCTCCGCCTGCCTGCCCCCCAACCCTTCAATCTGCCTCCCCGCGTTCAGCAGATTCGCCAGGGCAGGGAAGACATTGTAGCAGGACCTCATGTGAAGGCGCCAGAGTGTGACTGCACGGGAAAACCTCGCTATAAGCACGAGGAAGACCACCATCGCGAGGCAGCGGCGGTAGGCGGCCCAACACGCTCTGCACTGCCAGCAGCACCACCAGAAGTGCTTGGGTGCTGTAGCGGCTGTAGCGCCAGCGGCGTTGGTTGTAGCAGCACCACTTGCATCCGCCAGATCGCGAATCCCCATGATGTCTGCTTGTGCCAGCTGGCATCTGACCACATCCAGGTCCCACAGCAGTCCGACACGTGGCTCTGCCATCCACTCGAGGAACATCCCCTCGGCTGCAGGCATGGGCGCGAAATCCGCCTTCCACTTGAACTGCACGGCAGGAGGCCCTGAGGGAACGTCAAACCTGGAAATTCCCCCGCCACCGCCGCCACCACCCCCACGAGCAGCAGCAGAGGCTATCGCAGTGCGGCTGCTTCCCCCGCGCCCCACACCTGGACCAGTCATACTCCAGGCACTCGGCACTCTAACGGTGGCGGAATACGCAAGGATGGCCTGGGACGGCTGGTTGTGGCTGGCTGGGCACGGGTTGATTTTCTCACTCACTGGCTGCTGCAGGTGCAGGCGGAGGGCGTTAAGGGTGGAGGTTTGGTAGGTGATGGGGGGGGCGGGGTGGAGGATGCGCGAGAGGCAGCAGGCGCAGAGGGAGTGGTTCCAGGGGAGGTTCACGTCGACGTAGTGTACCATGTGCGGGCGGGTCATGGGTGAGTAGTCTAGCGTGCTCGTGATGCTCGGCCGGATGCGACGGCTGCTGTTGACGCGCCTGCTGGTGCTAGTGAGGGCGCTGCTGTGGCCGCCATTCGTGGCGGGCGTAGGGGCCGGCGGAGCGGAGACAGGGGCGGAGATAGGCGCAGAGGCATGCGCGGAGGCGGGAGCAGAAGCAGGCGCAGAGGTGGGTGCACAGGCACGCGCAGAGGCAGGCACAGAGGCAGGCGCAGAAGCAGGCGCAGAGACAGACGCGGAGGCAGGCGCAGGGGCGGGAGCGGAAGGGGGAGCAGAAGCATGCGCGGAGGCGGGTGTGTGATTCGCAACACCGCTGCTGCTGCTGCTGCTGCTGGACCCCCGGCGGCAACTGCCGAATCTGGTTTTCCCTTCCCCCCCTCCCTCGATTTTACCGGGAGCACTTTGACCACTGTACCCGCTCTAAGCTTCGCCTTCTCCACTGATGCTTCAGGCGATAGGTACACCACTTGACCGAGAGCCATAAACCGAACGGCCTGTTTCTCTATTCCCGTCACCTTTTGGTCGCTGGCCTTATCTACGTTATCCTGCTGCTGACTTGGCAGGCAGCAGTGCGGCAGGTGGGATTGGAAGAGTCTGTCGAACGCGGATTGGAGCGCTTGCTGCGGATCAACGGATATGGAGTAATCCACGTGGGACGCCGCTGCTGGCTGCGCGATCGCAGACGTTGTTTGCTCGTTGAGAGAATCAGGACTGCTGCTGCTACCGTCAGTACTACCGCTGCTGTTGCTGGTGGTGGTAATGCTGCTGCTACTGGTGCCGCTGGTCAACGAAGACGCGTCGCCGTTGCTACCTTTCGTGTTCTTCAGCAGAGTAGCCGGCACCCTGAATCGAATCGTGAACTCCATGATGCAACGCAATGCTGAAGCACCAGGCAGAGCTAGCGCAGGTAGCAAGACACCAACTAGACGTCACAACTCTACATTGAATCGTGAACTCCCACCATCAAGGAGAGTAGCGCGTGTGGTAAAGATACCAAGCCGACCCATCAGCGGTTTAGCCAGGCAATGCACCAATCTAGAACGAGAAGGAAATGTCGAAAGATACGGTGCTGCTGTTGAAAAAAAGGAGCGAATGCCGATGCTACCAAGTAGAGTTAGCGAGTCTCAGAAGCGAAGCTCTTACTGTCAGTCGTCCTTAGAAGATTCAATGTCACATTCCGGACAAGCGTCAAGATGGATCCATTGGGAAACGCAGATAAAGCACTCTGTTGTTGTCTAAACGAAATGCGACGACTTGCATTTACTGATGCTGCGAATCAAAGCAGAAGAAATTAGCTTTCAGGAACCTAACTGCTCGAATCTCTGTGAAAGTAAATGTGAGGTAAAATGACTACCCCCAATGACAGTTCCATGAAAGGTGCTGATGAGAGCGGAACGGAGATCTCGTTGTCAGGAGACGTTGGCGGGAGAAGGACAGATTCGTGTGTGGCAGATTGCAGATTCTCATCAAGGTTGAGGCGGGCTGGAGGTGGAATTCCGAGGCCCCCTGATAATGCCGAGCTGCGCGAGGGAAGTCGTGCGCTGGAGTTCCAAGCGAGGATAGAGAATGGCGATATGGAGGAATGTTTTTCGCTGCAGCATGAGGGAAAGGGAAAGGGACGAGCTTGTCCGTGTATCCTCTATTGAATTACTTTTGCACGCTTTGGTGAATTGGAATACTACATTCATTTTTCATCCAGTGAGAGCCTTTATCAGAGAGGAACATCTCATTGTTATTTCTGCATTAGAAATTCATTTTAAGATGTCACGTCCACAATTTCTGCAATGCCGTGCAAGCCTTTAAGGTTTATTTTTGGATTCATGCCGCCTTTATCACTTGAAGTTGCTCCTGCTCTGGTTCACAAAGCAATGTGCAGATTAATGCCCTTTCTTCCCAAAAGAAAACCAGACTCCATGTCTTCTCCTTGCTGCTGCTGCACTCTCCATCCCAGGCTTGCCATCTTCCTTACCACTGGCAGCTTCATCTCTGCTTTTTCTAATGATTTTCAGAGTTTCTAAATTCCCCAATTTCACTATGAGCTCCGTCAGACTTGCTGGCGGGTTGCAAGTTAAGACAATGCTCTCAGTCTCCCACTCCTTCGGCAATCCACAGATGATGCAGCATATCAGATCTTCCTCAGTTTCTTCTGCGCCCATGGCCTTCAACTCACTGTTGTAAAGCATAGCCCTATTTACGTAATCCATGAGCCTCTCATGAGGCTCCATGCGAAGAAGTAACATCTTCTTCCTCAATAGCAATTTCCTCCTCAGAAACAGCAACCCCCCCTTCAGGCTATCTTCTTCCATCTACGCACACCCTAAAAAAAAGGTCCCGTATGTGGCGTCTGCTGGCTGGTAAACTACGAGCCTGAGCGTTTATTATAAAAGAACGGAAGAGGCTGAGCTGCTCCGATTGTATTTATGGAAGGTGGCTCTAGTGCGTGCTGAGATATGAATAATGCATTCGCAATGCCAAACGTGCGCCTCCCGCAACATGGTTGCTCCGCAGGCACACGGCATCGGGCTAGGCGACACATCAGCGTGAAGCCGGGAAGAAATTTCATCGCCGGCAGTTCTCCTCGTGCCCATCGTCGGGATTAACTTCAAGCCTAAAAACCTGAACGTGTGTCACACGTTTCCCGCGCAAATGCAACTATCAGGAGGAAATCCGTTCAACCTCACCACCGAAAGGCCGTTCAATTGTGTGCACGAACAATCTATCGCAGAAGGCCAACAATTACCTCAACCACACGGTAGCGACGCAATCACGACATTTGCGAAACGAATTCCGAAATGTACGAAGGCGGACCAGCCAGAACCAGGCTCGATCGAAGTCCGCTAACCGACTAGGGATCATGCAAGTCTATCGACATCCATCACACAAACCTATCAACCGATCGTTCTCCCACTGCACCAGACCCACCACAAAACCAAGCACTAACCCCAAACGAGTCAAATCCCTTTCACGCCTCCTGTCACTTGCGCCGATTTCGGGCGATCGTCAACCCGTTTCATTCAAGTTCAACTGCTCCTCACTGAATCGCCTGCTTCAGGTTGTATGCCTCCCAGCAACGAACCGCGCTAGTGGTACAGGGCTGTGCGTGTCGTGACGCGGCAATGCGTTGGGTGTACGCGTTTGAGGCGTTGACTCACATCCGGGTCCTTCGTCTCTATGTGTTCCCACGCGAGTCCCATGCTCCTAAGGAGGGACCGGCGGCGGAAGATGCGGAGTGGCTGAATCTAGTCTCCTCTGGCGTGACGGCGCGGCTGGACCTTGAAAGCTCAGTACGATTTAGAGACCACGTTGACTTTGGAAACCGCGTTGACTCCGAAAACGGTTTAGGTTCGCGTCACTCTGGCTCGAAACGTTACTATGGCGCTCAAATCGTCATGTTTTTAGGAACCCCTTCTGACTCACCTGACGAACAGGCTCAGCATGCCGAACCGGCTGCGCTCGGCCAGCAGGTTCGGCAGAATAATCAAGCGGTTTTTGCTTCGGCAGAAGACTTCCAGAGGGTTGGAACGCCGCTTCCCTTTTCAATCGGCATTCCCTTTGCTCTGCCTGTCAATCCCAGCGGAGATAACAAGAATGCCGGAACCACCGGTGACTCTGGCGAAAGTTACATAAACGAGCGAACAAAGAAATCTGTTGCTGTGCCTGTGAACGTGCGGGCGGGGCACCTCGAAGTCACCGTTCCGCTGGAGCAGCTGCTCGGATCGGATCTCGATGGATTCTGGCGAACGGTGGGGGAGTCCGGGGGAGGCGCGGGGGAGGGGGCTGCGCGCAACGGCGGAGGGCGATTGAGAGAAAGCCGGAAGGAGCCCACTGATTTCAGGGCTGGTCACGTGCGTGAGTAGGGAGTAAGAACGGACGGGCCGTCCGGACGGTGAAGTTTGTGAGGTTCCCTACGAACCCATTTATAGCTTAGCTTAGCTCTGAAGTTTGTGAAGTTTGTGAGGTTCCCTACGAACTCATCTTTAGCTTAGCTTAGTTTACGAAGTTAGCCATGCCGCCTAAGAGGAATGCAAGGGGGAGGAAAAAGAATGAGAATAAGTTATTGGCTTTGACGATTAATCTCCCCGGTGCTGCTGGAGCGGCAGCAGCCGAAGGAGACGCAGGGATGGCACAAAGTACAAGAAGGGCGACGCTTCAGACAAGTGCGCGTAACTTTCGCCGTTTCCACCGTTCGGACGGACCGTCCGTTCGTACTCACCCATTTCTCCTACAATATCTTTCCAGAGAGAAGCAGAAGGAGAAGGACACGCAATGGCGACAGCACACGCTGCATCGGTAGCAGCGGCAGCAGCAGATAAAAAGGGTGTGGCTGCGTCAGCTGAAGGAGACGATATTACAACAGCAACACCCGTTGCGAGAATTACGGAGCTACTGATTATAAGATCGACGCGGCAGGTAAGATTGCACCTCCTCGTCGCACCCCCAGACAGTTTTCTCGACCTCGCGCGCACCTTCCGCTCACCCCCATCTTTCATCGCCCTTGTTTCTCCTTCCCCGTCTTTCAAGGGAAAAACCGAAATACTTCTAGTTCCCCAATTATCTGAAAAAGACAGAGCACCGCCACCGCCATCACCGCGGGTAACCCGCTTAAGAGCTGCACAAGCAGCACAAGCTGCACAAGCAGCACAAGCAAGAACCTCAGAGGCATGCAGCAGCAGCAGCAGCCAGCTGCCACCTGCAGACGAGGATGCAAGCGGGAAGGGAGATGGACTGGGCGGGTCCAAGGGCGGGAATCAGGAGAGGCGCACGAGAAGCAAGAGAGGAAGTGATGGGGAAGCGGTGGACGACGGTGTGAACATTTCCCTTCCCGCTCGCAGATCTGTCGTCCACCGCTTCCCCATCACTCCCTCTCTTGCTTCTCGTGCGCCTCTCCTGATTCCCGCCCTTGGACCCGCCCAGTCCATCTTTCTTCCCGCTTGCATCCTCGTCTGCAGGTGGCAGCTGGCTGCTGCTACTGCTGCCTGCCTCTGAGGTTCTTGCTTGTGCTGCTTGTGCAGCTCTTAAACGGGTTACCCGCGGTGATGGCGGTGGCGATGCTCTGTCTTTTTCAGATAATTGGGGAACTAGAAGTATTTCGTTTTTTCCCTGGAAAGGCAGGGAAGGAGAAACAAGGGCGATGAAAGATGGAGATGAGCGGAAGGTGCGCGCGAGGTCGAGAAAACTGTCTGGGGGTGCGACGAGGGGGTGCAACCTTACTTGTCGCGTCGACCTTATCATCTGTAGCTCCGTAATTCTCGCAACTGGTGTTGCTGTTGTCATATCGTCTCCTTCAGCTGACGTCGCCACACCCTTTTTATCTGCTGCTGCCGCTGCTGCCGATGCAGCGTGTGCTGTCGCCGTTGCGTGTCCTTCTCCTTCTGCTTCTCCCTGGAAAGATAAGGAAGGAGAAACGGGTGAGTAAGAACGGACGGTCCGTCCGTACGGTGGAAACGGAGAAAGTTACGCGCACTTGCCTGCAGCGTCGCCCTTCTTGTACTTTGTGCCATCCCTGCGTTTCCTTTGGCTGCTGCCGCTCCAGCAGCACCGGGGAGATTAATCGTCAAAGCCAATAACTTTTTCTCATTCTTTTTCATCCCCCTTGCATTCCTCTTAGGCGGCATGGCTAACTTCGTAAGCTAAGCTAAGCTAGAGATGAGTTCGTAGGGAACCTCACAAACTTCGGAGCTAAGCTAAGCTAGAGATGAGTTCGTAGAGAACCTCACAAACTTCACAAACTTCAAAGCTAAGCTAAGCTAGAGATGAGTTCATAAGGAACCTCACAAATTTCACAAACTTCGGCACAGATTTCAGTACTTTCCGCATCATCTTCAGGGAGAATTAGTTTCTTTGGCACCTCCCTGAACCCTTAAAACCCAAAAACTTGCGCCCATCCATCCAACGTGGGAGAGATTGTTCTTCCAGCCTTCTGGCCCATCTGCCTCGCTGCCACGAGCCACTTGCACTCATGCATCTCATTCGAAACAACTCCTTTCCTTTCCCTTTTCATCAACTTGTTTCCCCGTTCCGCTCTCAGCGAGACTCCTTGCCTGCCCGTCTGCCAAGGCACCCTTTCATCTGCACAGCACCTCGTCACGTCCTCTGCCATTCATTTCTCAAATGCTCCCTTTTTTGTTCGCTTTGCAGCCTCTCTCCCCGCCTGCCTTCCTTCCATGGCACCATTTTATCTGCACTCATCATCTGGTCACATTTCCTTGTATCCTTATCTCGTTTCTCCCTTGTTCTATCCCACAGCTTCTCTCCTCGCCTGCCTCTCCGCCATGGCAGCCGTTCATCTGTACTGCCGCCACTGTCACCAAGAGCTGACAGCCAATCCACTTAGGTAAGCGGCCGTAGGTCACTTAGACATCACTACCTCTTATATCCTCTCCCCTCTTCCCCCTTTCCCCCACCTTCATCTGTACTGCCGCCACTGCCGCCACCAGCTGACTGCCAACCCACTTAGGTAAGCGGCAGCAATTCGCTTAAAGAGGGCGTCTCATATTTTCTCCGTTTTACAGTTGGTTGGATTTAACACTTGGTTGGCCTCCGTGACTGGTTGACGAATCACGAAATCTGTGACTAGCTGGGGTCGCGTTTCTGTCGAAACCAATCACTGACGCGAGTAACCAACCACCCGATGTGGATGAGATGGCAGAGCAGTGGTTTTGTGGTGCAGGGTGCTGCGTCTTCCCTCATCATTTCCCCTTCCTCCTCCACCCTCCAAGCAGCACGTTCGCCCCCATGCCATCGCCCGATGTGGATGAGATGGCGGAGCAGTGGTTCTGCGGGGCAGAGTGCTGCGCCGATGCTGCAGCCCACGCCCAGCACGTCGCCACCTCCCTCCACCTCCGCTGCTCCCTCTCCCCCTCCTCCTGCCTCCTCTCTCACACCTCCCTCGCCCTCCTCTCCTCCCACCCCAAGTCGATCAAGTCAACCAAGTCAACGACAAAATCATCTGATAATCTGAGTCAAATTCCGGTCAGCAGACTCTCATCAGACAATAAGGGCTCACAATGCTCGCTACAATCAGAGTCACTGTGCTCTGATGTTGAAGGTCAACAAAGTCAACTGAGTCAGGTCCACGTTGCCAGCACAGCTGCCATTGCCTCCCACTTGCAGAGACTCTCTCTCGACACCAGCGACTCATTACAAGCGTCTCAGTGCTTGTTACAAGCAGACCAGCCATTCAGTGCTGAAGCAGGTCAACAAAGTCAACCGAGTCAATGGGAAAGCATGGCAGGGAGACAGCAGACAGAGGGGCATGAAGCAGAGGAGCATGGGGCACAGGAACAGCATCTGGTGCCTAATCTAGTGCCAGAAGGAGGGCCTTGGCAGGAAGTGACTTGTGGGGGATGTGGCAGGGTGGTTGGGGCGAGAGGCAGGGGCAGTGCAGCGGTGCAGAGAGGAGGAAGGGAGAGTAGAGTCACAGGAAATGGAAGAAGTGAAGGTGAAGGAGTAAGGCGAGGACTGGCAGGAGAAGGAGAATATAAGGCAAGGCGGAGAAGCTGTGTGGAGCATCTGTTCTTGCACCGGGTGGATGCACGGCCGATTCACATGCCGCATGCATGTGCACCATCCCAAGATCACCCCATGATGTCATCGGATGAGGCCGTGACGTCAGCAGCGAACAGCACGGTTGTAGCAGCAGCCAATGGGGCTTCAGCGGCTTCGATCAGCAAAGAATCACTGAAGGGAAACCCAACAGACCGGCCTATCGAGCTGGGATTGAAGGAAGAACAAGTGGCAGAGGCAGCAGGTCCCACTGTAACATGGTAACGTCCATTCCCTTTGGTGAATTTTCAACTGTCCCAAAAATTATCTTAAATCGACTTAAAGATCGACATGGTAACGTCCATTCTCTTGCATGCACTGTTTGAATTACAGTCGTGTGTCTCATTATTTCCGCTTTCCGTTATTGCCTCATCTGTATCGGATTCTCTCTTTCCTCCTGCTGATTGCCTTTCCGCTCTCCTTTCCACACTTTCTCTCACTCCCTCTCTCCTCTTCCATGTTCCTCTCTCCAGGCCCTCCCCTTCCCTCTCGGCTTGCTTCTCTTCGCTCCTCTCCGCCCATCTCTCCACCCCCTCCGCCCCAAACCGCCTGGTGCTACGCTCAGTCTGCTCCCAGCGCCCCCTGCTGCTGCTCGTGCTGCTCAGTGCCCACACGGCTATGGGGTGGGGGTTATGTGGGCACGCTGGGAAGGGTGGGGGGAATGAGGAAGAAAGTAAGGGGGAGGACAGTCTGAAGGAAGAAAGGGAGGAGAATGAAGGGGAAGAGGGTGGTTTAAGGCGAGTAGTGAAGCTCATGTGCAAGCCTGTTGCTGCTGACAGCGATGCCGCAAGGTCAGTAAGTTCCCTTTGGAAGGGAGAGTTGGGGGGAAGGGATAATCTGAGATGTGTATGGGGATGGTATGTATGGGGAGGGCGTGTATGGGGATGGTATGTATGAGGAGGGCGTGTATGTGATGCTTGTCAGTCACTGCATTGCTGCTTGTCGTCTTCTCATTTTCCACTTCTCTTCTCTCCTTCCCCCCACTTCACGCATCGCATGCCCCACAGGGAAACCGACAAGTTGAGCGCCAAGGGCCATTCAGAGGACGTGTATGTGATGTAGCTGAGCAGGGATTCTGGTCACTGCCTTCAAATTCCTCTCCTTCTCATTTTGCCCACTTCTCCCCTTGTTTGCATCTCTCTCATCCCACAGTGAAGCCGATGAATGGGGAGCAAAAGGCCATGCAGAGGACGTGTATGTGATGCCGGTCACTGCATTCAAAACGTTCCTCATTCCGCCCACCACTCCCCTTGCTCCAACTCTCACCCCACAGTGAAGCAGACGAGTGGGGAGCCAGGGGCCATGCAGAGGACGCGCATGTGATGCCGGTCACTGCATTCAAAACGTTCCTCACTCCGCCCACCACTCCCCTTGCTCCAACTCTCACCCCACAGTGAAGCAGACGAGTGGGGCGCCAGGGCCCATGCAGAGGACGCGCATGTGATGCCGGTCACTGCATTCAAAACGTTCCTCATTCCGCCCACCACTCCCCTTGCTCCAACTCTCACCCCACAGTGAAGCAGACGAGTGGGGCGCCAGGGGCCATGCAGAGGACGTGTATGTGATGCCTGTCACTGCATTGGAGCTTCAGGGCTGTCTGAACAACGAATCACATTGCCCTCTTCCCCCCTCCCAACCCCACCTCCTCTACTGTTGCTTTGAGCAGTGAAGCAGACGAGTGGGGAGCAAAGGGCTATGCAGAGGACGTGTATGTGATGCCGGTGACTGCATTGGAGCTTCAGGGCTGTCTGAACGAGAATTCTCTGCTGCTGCCGCCCACATGCCGCGAGTTCAATGGCTTCACTGTTTCTTTTCTGCAAGTATAGAGGCTCTTGTTTCCAACGGCTGGCGTGTGAAGAGTCGACTTTTGGGTCGAGTAAAAAATCCACCCACACGCCGCAAGTTCAATGACTTCACCATCTCGTTTTTGCAAGTATAGGAGTTCCGTTTCCCAACGACTGGATTCAGATATGACTCATATAGACATCACAATATGTACGGTACCATGAGAGCTCCGATGCAGCACAATTTCAATGCAAAGCAATACTAGGCTTTTCTTTTCAATTGAGAATCTTCCCAGCAGCTGAGCGGGAGTCGTTTGGCTAAGGACTGGCTCGTCCCTACCAATTATCTTAGCAGCGCAGTTATTCGGGCAGTTTCCCTGCCCGGAAGATGCCGAATTTGGTGCTGCTGCTATTTGAGAACGGCACGTTGTGCTGCTGCAGAAATTCCCCACTGCAGCCATTAGGAATGGGAGCACAACACAGTGAAGGGGGGAAGAGGAGGACGGGGGGGAGAGGGGGTTTGTATTGAGACGTCTCAAAACACTACTTTTATCAAGGTGGGGGAAGAGGGGGGTTGTTGGTGCATGGGAAAGGAGGAGGAAAGGACAGAGTGCAGCAGGGCAGTTGAGGAGGAAGAGGGTGAGGGTTTGAGGTTACCCTAAATTCTTTTTAGTCAACTTAGGAAGTAGCTCGAAAAGAGCATTGAACGGGAGAGGAGGGAGGAGTGGGGGAAGTGGGTAGTGAGGGTGGTGAGGGAGGGATGTGGGACCAACCCACATCCTCTCCTCCCGACCAACTTCCAGCGTGAGTGGGAGCTGTAAGTCGGACCAACTTACAGCTCAGCTTTGAGTTGCTCTGGCTGACTCGTCTCACACTCGATTTCATATTGCGTGCCAAAGGCAAACTGCAGGAGGGAGGGAGGGCAAGAGGACATCGTGAAGAGACAGTGGATAGGGATGCTGAGAGCACACATTTTAATCAGCCAAGCATTTGCAGAGACGCATCGTTTGATTGTTTGCCTTCTTTGTTTTCTTAGGTGCTGTGCATCCCACCGGAGTCTCCACTCAAAACACACTGATTTCATCTGCACCGCACTCGACCCTCCCTACTCGCACATCACCACGTCCCACCTGAGTGTCATCCAGCTCAATCGTGTTGCCCCGCCACTCAAACACGCTCCTTGTGTTGCGGAACCCCCCCACCTCTTACCCTTCTCACTGCACCGCACTCAACCCCACGAATCTGCACATCACCACATCCCACCTGGGTTTCATCCAGCTCGATTGTGTTTCCCCGCCATTCAAACATGCAATGGCTCCATCTGCAGTGCACTCAACCCCTCCAAATCACACACCACCACATCCCACCTGAGTCTCATCCAGCTCGATTGTGTTGCCTCGCCAATCAAACAAGCTCCTAGCGTTGCGGAATCCCCCCAGGCACCACAACACCGTTCCATCTGCACATCACTCAACCCCCTAAATCCGCACACCACCGCATCCCACCTGGGTTTCATCCAACTCGATCGTGTTGCCGCGCCAATCAAACACGCTCCGAGTGTTGCGGAATCCCCCCAGACACACAAATTGTGGGCAGGAGAAGCGGGCAGGCTGTGTGGGTGGTTGGCATCAATGTGGGGAAAAAAGGGGAGAGGGAGATGGGGGGGAAATGAGAAGAAAGGATCTTCCCCAGACACACAAACGGGCAGGAGGGGTGGGTAGGCTGCATGGGGGGTGGGTGGGTGGTGGTGGTGGGATGAGGGAATCAGCAGGAATGGGGAAGGGATAAGAAAGAGCCTCTCCAGAGACAGTAAGTGTGGAGCAAAAGAGGGGAGCAGTAGCAGAAGCAGCCATTGAGACACTCATACTTGGCAGAAGGAGATATGGTTGGGCTGTGAAGAGAGGGTGTAGTGGAGTGGAGAAGGAAGAACGGAGGGAAGGTAGGTAGGTAGACGAATGGATGATAGGATTATGATAATGCAACGAGCATAAACAAAACAGTTGTAATATCTTGTTGCGTACAAGTCAGCAAAAAAACACTATTAAAGAAAGGGCACAAGAGAGAAACGGATTTGACCAGCAAGGGATGATGATGCACGGTCCCTCTCCTCTTCATTCCTGGCTGAACGCGGGGATGACTTGACGGAGGGAACCCAAAGGCGAGGGGCGAGGATGACTTGGGATGGGAGTCTTAATAGGGAGGAGAGAAGAGGAGTGGTTACAGATTGCAGCAACAAGGGGGGTCTGTGACACGTGCCTTGGCCAAAGTGACTTCTGAGTCGACTCAAAGAGGAGTGAGAAGTCGTACCAGCGAGGAGAGGAGAGGCGTGGATGCAGATTGCAGCAGCGAGGGGTCCGCCACACATGCCCTGCCAAAGGCAGGTTCGATCTCCTCCTCCTCCTGTGAATGGGTGTGTGCGAGAGTCAACAGGAGGGGGGTGGAGCACGAGAGAGAGGGGGACGGACGGAAGGAGGGAGGTACGGGGCTGGGATAGAGAGGAGAACGACACAGGCAACAGCGAGAGATTCGAGGAGAGAGAGGGAATGGAGGAAGAAGAAAATGTGGCATTGGGAGAAGTGAATAAGTAAGGAATAAATCCACTGCTCTCGATACAACTTGTCTGAATACACTGAATCTGCGGTCCTGTTTACCTCAGTGGAGTGCCCAATGCGATCCGCCAGTATAGACAGCCCCTTTACAGTTAGAAAGTGGTGAATCCACCACTTATCTGTCACTCTCAGGACCATACGAGGCATGTCCAGATGCACTGAACCTGCGGTCCTGCATACCTCAGTGGAGCGCCTGATACCATCTGCCAAGGCCACTACTACTGCTCTATAACAACATGTCCAGATACACTGAATCTGCGTTCCTGCTTACCTCAGTGGAGCGCCCAATGCCATCCGCCATAACAGTCTTCCCCTTTACAGTCACAACGCACTTGGAATCATTGTTGTAGAAGCGAAGGCGCAACACGATGCGATTGCGACTCCTGAATTGAGGGGAGGATTGGGGAGAGAGAGGAAACAAGAGAGGAGGAGAGTAAGGAATGCATGTGAGTGCTACTTGTGTGAGGAGGATTGTGTGAGAATCACTCTTGAGAATGCTCACACAAGTGCCTCGAGGCGCCTTCGCTTCCACACAAGTTTTTGAATCGCGGCTGCGGAAGTGAAGGGGCAAAAGACTGCAATGATGACTCCTGGATGGGACGGAAGAAGAAAAGGAGGAGGTGGGGGAGGAAAAGATGGGGGGAGAGAGAGAAGGGCGGGGGGAAATGGAAATCGGCGTTGAGTCAGCGCATGTGAAAACAACCTGGATTTCTTGCTAAGCAATCGAGGCCACCTGCAGCACTATAGGGTTGCAACTCCTGCATTGAGCGGGGGATACTGGGGAAGGAGGGGAAGAGAAGGAGAGAAGGGCTGTAACGACGACAGGTTTGTAATGCTGACGTGCTAGTGATGCTGACGTGGTAGTAATGCTGACGTGCTAGTTATGCTATCGTGGTAGTAATGCTGACGTGCTTGAAACTGAAGTATGTTGCCACCACCACTCACAGCTCGCCGTTCGCCCCGTCGAAAAACACGTTCTCCTGCTGATGTGTCACGCGGTGATTGGCCGCCAGCAGCTCCGCCACGCGCGCGTGCGCCTCCTTATTCGCTAACCGCAGTTTCACCTCCACCTCCATCGCCACCCCCGCGCCCGCCGCACCCGCCGCACCCGCCGCTCCCGCCGCTCCCGCCGCTCCCGCCGCGGGTTCCGCCATGGATTCACCCGCGGAAGCCGCAGAGGCGGATATCAAATGCGCCGGCCGGCGGCGGCTGGGAGTGTGCGGAAGGAGGGCGCGGTGGACTGCGATGGAAGGCGGAAATCGAGGCGCAGTGCGGCCCGCGGTACCTGGAGCAGCGGGAAGAAGCGCGGGTGCGGAAGCTGGGCGGAGTGGGCGGACCGGAAAGTGGCGCGGGGAGCGGAATTGGTGGTGGGGAGCGGAAAGGAGAGGGGCGCGGAGAGGCGTTGCGATGCCGGCAGCGGAAATGGCGCGCTGCAGCATGGGGGCGGGGGAAAAGCGCTGACGAATAGGAGGGAACAACCTGCGAAGGAGCGCGAAAGACGGCGAGAAGAAGCACGAGGAGAACGCCGAAGAGTACAATGGCAAATACCACAATGGTCATCACACTCGTTATAGCTACAGTATGGCAAATTAATGTCAAATATTGTGGTCACAAGCGGATCTCAATGAAAATCTTGAACTTATTTCCCTATCAGACTGATCTCACGTCTTTCAACTAAAAACTTTTCATGCATGGAATTTCAATTTCTGTACCTATCCTTGAAGGCTTATTACATGCAAAAATTACCACTCGTAATATTCAACCCTTCCTGCACCATTTGTCTGCGGATCCGCTAGTGTCACTCGTGTTTTGTCTACATGTATTTGTATTCCAGCTCTTGTCGGAATTTGGAGGCCATGAATTCAATCTCCCCATCGCTGAGATCCACAGGGGTTTCGGCTTCGCCTCCCTGGTGCAGAGACATGTAGCGGCGATGCATGTGTGCAGGAACCATGGACTGTACCCAGCGCTGCTCATAACGAGGATAAGAATGTGGGAAGTGGCAAGAGGGTAGGTTAGCACAGATGTGTGTGCTTGTATGGCCTGCAGAAGCAACCCAGTGCTGCCTATGAGGAGAACGGTTTTTATGGTTAAGAGGGATACGGAGAAGGCAGATGTGCAACTCAGAGGCATGTTGCTGCTGTTCAGAGAAAGACAAATGAGAGGTGAGAGAGGAATGAGAAATGAGAAATAGAGACGAGGATGAGAACGAGAAATGGAAATGAGAAGGAGAATTGAGAGAGAGAAATTGAGAGATGAGAACGGGAGAATTGAGAATGCGAAATGAAAATGAGAAATGAGAGTGGAAGGAATGAGAATGAGAATTGAGAATGAGAAATGAGAAAATGAGAATCGGAAATGAGAGAAAGCGGGAACGAACATGGAAAAAGCTGCTTGTACGGAGTGGTGTTGAAGCGAGCGGGTATAAGTTACCTGGAATGCGGTGGTGGGAGCATCGTCCATAAGCCACTTCCAGAGAGTGAAGGCCTCGAGGAGCGATGCGATGATGAGGAGGAGACCAAAGGGAATGCCGTACAGGAAAGACCACACCTGGCAACAGGGGGAAAACAGGGAGATTGACAAGGTTAACGAGGGGGTGATAAGCAGAGGGGGAGCAGCGATGCGTTAATGAGGAGATCGAAGGAAATGCCATACCGGAAGGACCACACTTAGTGGAGGGGAGATGCAGGAATAGTGACAGGGGTATTAGGGAGGGGATGGAGAAAACAGGGGGGGGACATGGGGGAGGGGCGCTGCTATAACGAGGAGCAGGCCAACGGGAATCCTGTACAAGAAGGACCACACATACCATGGAGTGCGGGTGCAGCAGTGAGATGCCATGCCACACGTTGATCACTCCCAGCAGCACCACCAGGCGCCCGTTCCAGTGGTGCAGCAGGTTCCACCAGGGGCGCAGCAGCGCGTCCTTGTGGGGGATGACCATGAGAGCAGTCACCTGAACACATGAACGCAGGGCAAGGAGTGAAGACGAGAACATGGCCATGTGTGGACCTATATGGCAGTCAGTGGCACCACACCAGGGGTCCGTTCCAGTGCTGCAGCAGGTTCCACCAGGGGCGAAGGAGGGCGTCCTTGTGAGGAATGACCATGAGAGCAGTCACCTGAGGCAGGGGAGGGGTTGCATATGCAAAGTGGGAGCATGTGACAGTGAAGTTGTGAGCGCACATGGGCGTCACGGCAGCAGCACCCACCCGCCCGTTCCAGTGGTGCAGCAGGCTCCACCAGGGGAGCAGCAGAGCAACGTTATCGAGCATGCGAGCAGAGAAGAGCACACACCCACCTGAAACTATGCGAGCATGTTTTGAGACGTATCAAAACGCGCAGCAGAGCAACATTATCGAGAGAGCAGAGCACACACCCACCTCGCACGATGGTCTGCTCTCTCCAGAGGATGAAGAGGGTGGCGCTGTACTGCTGGTGCACCCCTCTGTTGTCTATCCTCTCTGGTGCTGAGCTTTAGGTTTCTCAGGTCACAAAACCCACCTGGAACGATGCGAGCACAAGCAGCATGATGCCGTAACCCCCTGTGCATGCATGCACCCCATTGTCACCCACCCTACAGCACTGTGCTTTTGGTAAGTCGAGTTTGAGTCGACTCAAAACTCGAGTTATCACGCTTTCGTGCATGCACTCCGTTGTCACCCACCCTACAGCACTGTGCTTTTGGTTTCTCAAGTCAACACACCCACCTGAAACGATGCAAGAATGAAGAGCGTGATGCCGTATCTCCTGTGCGCCCCCGGGTCAAACTCGCCCGCCTCCTCCCCCCCCACGCCCCTCAGCCGCACATGCCCCTCATGTGCGTCCCCCCACATGAGCAGCCCGAGAAAGAACCCAAACGCGCCCAGCGCATACCCCCCCCCTGCACCATCCTGTGCAGCTTCACCCAGGAGGGGGTGCCTGGGCCAGAGGTTACCACCGCCACGGAGGATGAGGGGAAGGGGAAGGGGAAGGCGGAGGAGGGGGCGGAGGAGGCGGAGGCGGAGGAGGAGGCGGAAGAGGAGGGGTCGAGTTGGGGGAGGTGGCGGGCGAGTAGCATGCCGATGGGGAGGATGAGGCCCCAGGCGAGGAGGTTGACTAGGCCGTGCGCTGCTTGCAACCACTGAGGTGGTCCGGCACCTGGGAGGGAGCAAGGGCAGGGCAGGGGAGAGAAAGCAGGGGTGAGAAAGCCAGGGAAGTCGGTAAGAGGAGGTGGCGGGCGAGTGGCATGCCAATGGGGAGGATGAGGCCCCAGGCGAGGAGGTTGACTAGGCCGTGCGCTGCTTGCAACCACTGAGGTGGTCCGGCACCTGGGAGGGAGCAAGGGCAGGGCAGGGGAGAGAAAGCAGGGGTGAGAAAGCCAGGGAAGTCGGTAAGAGGAGGTGGCGGGCGAGTGGCATGCCGATGGGGAGGATAAGGCCCCAGGCAAGGAGGTTGACCAGACCGTGTGCTGCTTGCAGCCACTGGGGGGGTCCGGCGCCTGAGAGTAAGAAAGTGGAGGGAGCAGTAAGACAGGGTTGGGACTGAGAATGGTAGGTGGGGGGCGAGAAGCATGTTGATGGGGAGGGTGAGACCCCAGGCGAACAAGTTGACGAGGCCGTGTGCTGCTTGCAGCCACTGGGGGGGTCCAGCACCTGAGAGTAAGAAGGAGAGGGGAACAGTAAGACAGGGTTGGGACTGAGAATGGGAGGTGTTGGCGGGCGAGTAGCATGCCAATGGGGAGGATGAGGCCCCAGGCGAGGAAGTTCACCAGGCCGTGTGCTCCTTGCAACCACTGAGGGGGGCCGGCGCCTGGGAGGGAGCAAGGGAAGGGCAAGGGGGAGAGAAAGAGGGAGGCGGTAAGGAAGGGGAGGTGGCGGGTGAGTAGCATGCCGATGGGGAGGATGAGACCCAGGCGAGGAGGTTCACCAGGCCGTGTGCTCCTTGCAACCACTGAGGGGGGCCGCAAACATCACCCGCACCCTGCCTGCTGGGATCAAACCCTCACCACACCTGCCCATCGCTCAAACCCCTAGACTCTGAACCCGGAACCCTAAGAACCTCTGAGATCTCACCAGCCAGGCGCAGGTAAGTTCGGGCAGTGTTGAAGGGGCTGTGCGGCTCTAGCATCCCCGTGTCACCGCTGCCCCCCTGCCCCTTGGCCATGATCACATACAGCCCTGGCGTCTGCCCCTGTGATAGCGTTACAGCCACCACTTTACCCTGAACCCGAAAGCCTTGACTCTCACCTGCCAGGCGCAGGTAAGTGCGGGCAGTGTTGAAGGGGCTGTGGGGCTCTAGCATCCCCGTGTCACCGTTGCCCCCCTGGCCCTTGGCCATGATCACATACAGCCCTGGCGTCTGCCCCTCCGGTAGCACGACCGCGAACATCACTCGCACCGTTGAGCCTTGAATGTGCACCTGAAGGAAAGGTGGCACACAGAAGGAGGTTTCTGAGGCGCGCGTGAATTAAGTTTGATATATTCTGGGGAAAAAAAAATAATAATAAAAAAAAAAAACAAAACAAAACAAAACAAAACAAAAACAACAACAACAACAACAACAACAACAACAACAACATCGCCTGCACAGACATTAGGGCTTCAGTTGTGCAGCTGAACAAAACTGTAACACAAAGATGGGGGGCATTCCGAAAGGCACTACTTGAAGCTGCTGTGTTGGCACGGTACACACCAACGCCCAAACGAAATCCCCAGCGGCTGGCAGTAAAAAAACGCACAATACAACCACGACTTGTAGCAAACCCCGCTCCCCTGAGTGACTCACATGACTCCACCGCCCCACCAGTTCCCCCACCCACTCCCCCACAGACACCCACTCAAGCCACTCACTCATCCTGATTGATGCTATTCACCACAGCGTCCAGGTCTCCCGTATCCAGCTTGATCAATCATCAAACCAGCATTGCAGTCCGCAGATGGTACTGTGGCACATTTTTCCCCACCTTTCCTGACCGACTGACTTTCTCTGCCCCAGGAAAGGTGGGGTATTATGTGTCACAGTACCATCCGCCCCAGCGGCCAACTCTCAAGCCACCCACTCACTTTTATGCTGTTGAGAACCAGTTCCAGATTTTTCGGTATCCAGCTTTGATCAGGCTCGGCTCGCATTCCAGTCCGCCAGGTGGTACTGCGATACGTTACGTAGCACCCTCAGCGACACTCTTGAGTCGACTCAAAAGTCAACTCAGTGGTACTGCGATACATACGTAGTACCCTGAGCGATACTCCCTCCCTCCTCGCCTCACTGACTCTACGCCAGAGCAGACCCCAAGCTACTCACTCACCCCTCGATGCTGTTGGAAATCAATTCAAGATCACCCGTGCCCGGTTTGATCAGGATCAGGCTCGCATTGCAGTCCGCCAGGTAGTACTGCGAGAAGTAACACCCTGCCTGCCTGACTGGGCGAGTCCCCTGACTCCAGGCCTGGCCCACTCGCGCTAGACCCTGGTCCACTCGCTCACCTTGATGCTGTTGGGAACCAGTTCCAGCTCGCCCGTGTCTGGCTTAATGAGACTCGCGTTATAATCCGCAAGGTAGTACTGCGAGAAGTAGTACTCCGTCTCGCTCGAGCGGAACGCCACGAGCGCGCTCGCCCCCACCATGCGCACGCCTATGCCCCACCCCACCCACCCCTCCCAGTCGGCGGAAAACGCGCCGTCGAGAATGCGCGTGGGGCGATCGTATGTCCACTGGAGCGACGGGGAGGGGTAGGGGGAGAGGAGAAGGGGGAACGGGGGATGTCAGCACATATTGATAATTGGAGTTCGATGGAGCATGTGTATGCCCCTGCTCAACCAACCCTCCCAACTTGCCGAGATCGCGCAGTCCAGGATGCATGCGGGGGGTTCGTATGTCCACTAGAGCGGGAGAGAAACAAGGAAAGAGAAGTGAACACGGAAACGCGGGAACGGCGAGACCCGAAGATCGAACTGGATCATTTGAAATGAGTGAATGGGAGGGAAACAGCGACCCTGAAGACAGGTTAGCAAACGGAGCGCAACGATCACTCTAAAGAAAGTAATAACATTCTTGTCAAAACGACGAAAGAAGGGGTTCGACGTGCTTATGCTTTCAGTGAAGCGAGCCGGTAATGATTAAACGGAAATGTGATTACATGGAAGGTGAATCCGCCACCCGATTGAAGATACACGCAGTTCTCAAATTCCCAATTGGTTCCCACGTCCGTCTGAACAGACAGCGAGCAGTTCTTTCGGCTAACAGCCGTTATATCAGCCGGCCCGCCGATTATCGACTGACGCATGGCGTCGGCCGCCGGCAGGGCTCCGAAATCGGCGGGGAGATCGTCGGTGACAGGAAGGAAAGGCGTTGCGACGGAGCTGGGAGCGGGAGCGGGTGCGCTGGCAGATGCGTCTGCTGACGTGGCACTAAGGGACGCGTCTGGTTGAGCTTGAACGTACGCAATACTGAGAAGAATGGCTGCTGCTAAAAGCAGCGGCCATAACGGATTAGATGCTCTCATGATCGCACCGCGCGGAAGTAATGCTCAATGTCTAGAAGCTTTCGGCGGAAGAAAAAAGAAAGGGATAAATAGAGTAGCCAAGCTGATACCGTAAGATTTGAGTAAGAATGTGACGAGCAAGCAGTCTAGTTGCCTTGAGCATAGGCTGAGGCTCAAGGGCCGCGAGACGCCCCTGAACCTTGGAAAGAGGATAGGTCTAATTTGTTCCTGCCGGAATGGGATGGGCTTTACCCAGCTCAATGGGGTGTGTTGTGTGGCCTGCCTGCCCCCCTCAAGACTGCCGTTCTGGGATGGTTGGTTGGGCTTGGTGACAATCTCGAGGAGCGACATCCAGCGAACCAATTTCGAGGTTGGCGACAATTTTGAGGGTGTGTTTCAAGCGCCAACGAGCTGGTGACGAACCCGAGAAGTTCGCAGGCCATCCACCAACCAAACCTTCCGTCATCCGGCCAATCAGAAGCTGGAAGGGAGACAAGCAGCGGCTGCAATCATCCGCCAACAACCACAACTGTAAAACTGGTTACAAGTGATAAAGATGTCTGCATCTCGTCGAGTTCGTCTCAACTGGGTGTGAGATTCGCGAAAGTTCACATCCTTTCGCTGGACCTTTGTCTGCAATCATTCCACCCCCTTTTGCTGGCCCCAACGGATCTCCATCGCTGTCGTCATGTTCCGCGTCTTTTGCCGCAAATCACGGGCAGCGCTACCACCATGCAACGATAGGATTTTAGCGCGTTTTGTGGCACAGTCTCACGCCTGCTCAACCCATTCCACTAATAACTCTAGTTTTGTCGCGACAGGTAACAGCGGAAGCGACAGTTTGAGAGGCGATGAACGTAGCAATGACGCAGCGTTGAACCTCCGATCGCGCGATCCGAATCGAGACAGAAGAACCGCAGGCGCAAAAGTAGGCGTTGGGAGCGGACTCGCGAGCGGGACACGTGGCCCGGGAAATCCAAATCGCGCCACGTCAGGAGAACCGGACCACAGGCGTTGGGGCCCAGGGACAGAAGAAAGGGGAAACAGCGGCGGGACTGCGGGGAGAAGAGAACCCGGAGACAGGGGGAACACTCCGCGGAACGAGCGGGCTGAATCAGCCAGGCAAGGAGATTCGAGAAAGTGGGGGTGGCAAGATCGCGCCAGGGCGGGAGCAGAGGCGGATCGGGGGAACGTAGGGCGGCAAGATGGGGAGAATATGGCAGGCCGGGGGAATTTCGGAGGACGGGGGGATTCGGCAGGGCTGGCGAATATGGCAGGATGGGGGAATTCGGCAGGGCGGGGGGATTGGAGGAGACGCGTAGAGGAGGGGGAGATCGAGGTGCCGTATTCGACGTTCCCTCCAGGGTCGAATGAGAAGTTTCGCGAGTGCTTCGAGAGGAAGCTGGCGTGGGACGTGGAGTACCCGAGCGTCATGCCTGAGGTACGGCAAGGAAGCGTTGTGCCGAACCTCATACCGAGCCTCATGCCGAGCCTCGTTCACAGGTGGGGCGGGCATGGCTCTCGGGTACCTTACGAGTTCAGGAACTGGCGTGGGACGTGGAGTACCCGGCGTGATGCCCGAGGTACGGCAAGCCAGCTTCGTGCCGAACCTGATGCCTTTACCCACACCTTTCACCGTCTCTTTCCCCCTTGCCTGTCTCATAGCACCTCCGCCCAAGTTCAGACTGAAGCCCAGCGGACACTAGATGCTGCTGGACTTCCTTTTTCCTCCCCTGTACCTGTTTTTCTATATCAATGTCTGATATTCGCCAGCCTTTGCTGGAGCCTCCTCCATCCAAGTTTAGACTGGAGCCCAGCGGACATGAGATGCTGCTGACGCTGAGGAGAGAGAGCGAGAAGGACTCATTCTTCCATGCCCCCCTCCCTTGCCCGCCACCCAAATCCCAGCCCCTGCTGGAGCCTCCGCCCTCCAAGTTTAGATTGGAGCCCAGCGGGCATGAGATGCTGCTGACGCTGAGGAGAGAGAGCGAGGAGGACGGAGAGGAGAGGAGAAAATGAGGGCTCAATTTCCCATGCACCCCCCTTTGGCACCACCCAAACAGCCTCTGTTGGAGCCCCCTCCCTCCAAGTTTAAATTTGAACCCAGCGGGCATGAGATGCTGCTGATGCTGAGGAGAGAAAGCGAGGGGGACTCAAATTCTATGCCCCCCTCCCTGTGTCACCACCCAAATCCCAGCCTCTGCTGGAGCCCCCTCCCTCCAAGTTTCGACTGGAGCCCAGCGGACACCAGATGCTGCTGACGCTGAGGAGAGAGAGCGAGAGAGGAGGATAGAGAGGTGCTTTAGACGACTCGTTTCGCCTCTCTTTCTCCCTCCCTCCCTTCCCCTTGCCCTGTCTTCTGATTCCCATGCCTGACTGCCGAAACCCAGCCGTTGTTGGAGAACCCTCCGTCCAAATTCAGATTGGAACCCAGCGGGCATGAGATGCTGCTGACGCTGAGGAGAGTGAGCGAGGAGGACGGAGAGGACATGCTGCTGACAGCGAGGTTTGTAGAGGAGAAGGAGCTGAGAGGGGGAGCAGAGGAGGAGGAGGAGGAAGAGGAGGGGGAGGGGGAGGGGGGGAGTGAGGGGGTTGAGTGAGGAGGAGAGGAAGAGGAGGAGGTGGCAGAAGCGGGGTAGGGTGGAGGGCGTTAAAATGGACGATTTGGTCTCGGGACAGTGGAAGGAGAAGCTTATGGAGGGCTTGGACACGGATGAACGGACAGAGATTGAGGTGCGTTTGTGACAATTCTCTTGCCTGGTAAACGAGAGAGGTGGTTTCTGGTATGGGGGCAGTGGAAGGAGAAGGGGATGGACACGGATGAACGCACAGAGGTTGAGGTACGTTTGTGTTGACCCGTTCCTAACCTCTTCATCTGCGGGTTCTCCTTCCACTGACCCTAGCTTTCTGTCTGCTGCCTCGAGTTAAAAAAAATATGTCTCTCTTTATCATCTTTCCAAATACACTCTTCTGGTCTGCTTTGGAGGCCTGAACTTCCACTGTGGGCAGCTGCTTTGGCAGCAGCTGTGGGTTGTATGTTTTTACTTTTACCTCTCTCGCTTCTGCCTACGAGAAAGACCGAAACAATATCTCCTGTCATGTCTGAAACCCCATTGTTCAGTGGCAAACGAACCAGGGCTTCAATCTGACGCCCATCCATGTGCGAGTGAGCATCTGCAGCCTCAAGGCCATGCGCAGCAGCAGGAATCGAACCCTGCACTCCAGTGCACTTGGCGAATCACAGAAGCCACCTCCCTCGAGGCCTGGCAAACCGCATGTGAAACAGCAGCAACCACCGTCCGCACTGCCAGAAACCCAGGCTGCAGTTGCTACAGCTGCAGCAGCTGCAGCAGGTGTAGCAGTTCGTGAACTGCAGGCATCAACATCAGGTGTAGTGCCTGCAGGAGCGGCAGCCGGAACAGGAACAGCAGGAACAGGAGCAGCAGCAGCAGCAGCAGCAGGGGGAGGAGCAGGGGCATATGAGGAAGGGGGGGCGCATGAGGAGCAATGCCCGATGATAACGGTTGACTGCCTGGTGCTGGGCCACTACCACTGGAAGATCCTCCGAGTGGAGTCAGCAGATCAGGAGGCTCCTCCTGGCCGCATACCGGCATATGGGCAACCACACCAGTAAGATCCTTCTCGGGTTGATCGTTTATGTCTTCTTCACCCCCCTCAGTAGCCACTGCCTGGTGTTGGGACACTATCACTGGAAGATTCTCCGCGTCGAATCAGCAGATCCCAAGGCTCCTCCTGGCCGCATACCGGCATATGGGCAACCACACCAGTGAGTTCCCACTCGTCTTGATCGTTTGTGTCGTCTTGACCCCTCAGTAGCCACTGCCTGGTTCTGGGGCGCTACCACTGGAAGATCTTTTTGTTCTGATCATTCTAAGTTGGCGCTTTCAGCTCACAACATGCGGTCCTTCATTCCCATTCTGAAGGCACAGCACTTCATATCCTTAGATTTCCCTCTAAGACCGCAACTCAATATAAAGCGTTTGTTTACCTCACAGGCTCACACACACACTTTCCTCTCCTCATCTCCATCGTCTCTTGCCCTTTTCTCCTGTCTCTCTTGCCTCATCTCTCTCTGCCACGTCCTTTTCCTATCGACTACCAGTTGTTTGAGCCCAGAGTTACAACAAGCATGGGAGACATTCTTCTTCCGCCGAGGATTTACAGGACCGCTTGCGAGCTACATTAGAATATATCTAGAGTGCAAGGAGCACCATGAAACTGTGCGCTGGTATGATAGGATGTACAAGTGGTTTTCTAACTAAATGAAAAACCGCACGTATGTACGGCTGAAATCCACACGATCAGAGTGAATGTTTTGTCTCGACATTGGAGAAAGATGAACAAACTGCTACCGTACTTACTGCACCTTGTGTATTCAGAAGAAAAGTCCGTCCGTTTACAATCGCGCCATAGCATAAAACGAACCATTTCAAAACGACATTGCTGGCAGTGTGGAGTGGGGAGATGCATGTGCCTAGCCGCGCACTTCACCGAGGCGTCATTCGCGCGTTGTGCGCGCTCAGAAATGCGAGACGACACGCCTAGCGCACCCCATACATCACGCTTGCGCGTTGCGCAAAGGAAGGCATTGGCGCGAGGAAAGGGGAACCTGATGCTACAAGGTTCACTTTGACAATTAGGTGATTAATAGTCGTTTGCGGAGGTCGTGCGCGTTTGCGCGCATTGGCGCGCGTGTTTGCGGAGGTCGTTCTCTCGCCGCATTCAACACTGTCCTCCGCGTGACCGCTGAAGCTGCCCCCGTCGGTTCCGCAAACGCGCGGGCGCAATGCCCGCATCCGGCGCGGATCTTTTCCGCCCCCGGCCCCTCTCCCCATGGTCGGCGGGCGGTCAGGACATTTTGACACGTGGCGTGCGGCCATTCGCCGTTTCCTACCTCCCCGCATTGAACGCTAACGCTCCACTCTCCCTCATAGCCCGGACCGCGCGTCGATCTCGACAGCTCTGCCGGAATTCACGGAACCCCGCGCGGCTTGTATTCGTCTCGTCGGCGGATCGCGCGCGCTCGAATGGGGAGGTGCAGAGAGGGGAGGACTGGGGGAGGGGGAGCGGAAGGTGGGTTGGCGGAAGATGGGGAAGCGGGAGGTGGGATGGGGGGGGTGACTGGAGGCGGAACCAGTCTTCCCCGCGCTCGGCTGGCGGGGCGCGGGGAGGGGAAGACTGGGGGAGGGGGACCGCGGCGGAGGGGCGGAACTGGGCAAGGGGGCGATGGGGGGGAGGCGCGGATGATTGGGGAAGCGGAAGGACGGTAGGGGGGGGGGGAAGGGGAGGCGAGGGGGGGAGAAACGGCAGGGCGGAATGGGAGAGGGGAGGGAACTGGCGGGCGAACTGGGCGGGCCAATCAGAAGGCAGCGGAAATGAGGGCGGCAGGGAGGAGGGAGGTCGGAACTGGGGGAGAAGGGACGAGCGCAGTAGGAACTGGGGGGCCAGAGACGAGGGCAGTGGTCGCAATGCGAGTGGTGGGGTTGCGGGTGGTGGGGACCACTATGTGACCTTGGGAGTGTCGCGGCGCGCCAGCAAGCAGGAGATCAAGACGGCCTTTCGACGGCTGGCCCGCAACGTAGTGTGCTGTGCTTGTAGTGGGTACAGCGGGACTTTGTAGAGAGTTCAGAGGCTGTGCAGTGCACCTCGTGCAACATGTGCTCTTTCCCAGGCGTTCCAACTCTCTCCTGTGTTCTCTCATATACACACGCGCGTCCTTTCCCACTGTGCTCTCTCACCCCCCTCACACTGTGCGTCCTTTGCCTCCTCCCTCTCATCTTCCGTCCCCAACCAGTGCCACCCCGACGTGTCCCGTCACCACCAGTCAACCCAGGCGTTTCGAACCATTTTGGCTGCCTATGAGGTGATGAGAGGAAGTGCGAGGAGATGGAGGTTTGGGGTTGATGAGAGGTTGTGTGTGAGGTGCTGTGGTTTTCATTTTGAGGTTGTTTGTTTCCTCCCTGCATTACCTCAACAATTGCCCATAACCTCACGCCTGGCCCTCTCTTTCACCCGTTGCTCAGAACGTCACGCGTGACCCTCTCTTTCGCCCATTGCTCGTTGACCATTCACATACCTCACCAACAAACAGGTTCTCTCGGACGAACAGCAGCGCCAGCGGTACGACTTCACCCTGCCACCAGCACCAGCAGCCGCAGCAGCTGCAGCAACCAACGCTAGGCCGTTCTGGAACCAACACACACGCCCCTCTGCTTCTGCTGCGGCAGCAGCATCAGCAGCATCTTCCTCCTCGTCTGCATCCCCGGATGGTCCAGGCGACTGGTGGGTCCCCCCGTCCACGTCCTACCGGCCTCGCAACATGCACTCGTCCGCCTTGTCAACATTAGCAGGCTCAGCAGCATCTACCGCGTCAGCATCAAGATCAGAGCAATCAGGTGGAGCAGCAGCAGGGGAAGGGGCAGGAGCAGCAGCGGCAGAGGAGTTTTCTCAGGATTCGGCTGGGTTCTTTCGCTGGCCGCTTAACTACTCCCAGATGCGGTCACGGGGAAGACGGTCACGCAGAGCAGCAGCTCACAGCCACGAGCAAACCTACTCGTATGCCTGGTCTGACAGTGCAAACACTGCCACATACGGCTCACATGCCACTCACCAGGAGGGACAACAACAGCGACAACAGCAGCAGCAGCAGCAGCAGCAGCAGCAGCAGCAGCAGCAGCAGCAGCAGCAGCAGCAGCAGCAGCAGCAGCAGCAGCAGCAGCAGCAGCAGCAGCAGCAGCAGCAGCAGCAGCAGCAGCAGCAGCAGCAGCAGCAGCAGCAGCAGCAGCAGCAGCAGCAGAGCAGCAGCAGCAGCAGCAGCAGCAGCAGCAGCAGCAGCAGCAGCAGCAGCAGCAGCAGCAGCAGAAGCAGCAGCAGCAGCAGCAGTCAGAACAAGAGGGAGAGGCGGCCAGCTGGGAGCAGTGGGAAGCACAGAGAACATACAGACACAGCCACAGCAATAGCTATAGCTCCGGGTTTAGTGACAGATATAGCAACACGTATAGCCACAGGCGTTCATACTGGCAAGAGCGAAACAACAAGCAAGGCAGCAGCCGCACACGTCCACGTCATCAGGAGGAGGATCGTCCGGACGAATGGGATCGCGCCAGCTGGCAGCAGCAGGACGAAGAGCGAGAGAAGGAAAGCAGGCGTGCCGCCTTGGAACCATTCACCCTCCCTCTCTCCTTCTCGCAAGTCTTTCTCGGCCAATGGGTGGACGACACCTGGCGCTTTGCCCTCTTCCGCTTCCGCTCCCTCTTCCCTGGCGGTTTCCGGTCCATCTCCTCCGTCCTCTCACTTCTTCTCGCTCTCTCCTTCCTCATCTCCTGTGCGGCAGCGTTCGGTACAGAGCGGTTGCTAGGGGTGCTTACCTTTGCCCTCATGTGGGGGAACCAGCGAGGGTATCAAATTGCAGGGCTTGTCGCGTGGTTCTTGGGGGGAGTGAGAGGCCTCGTGCTTGTTGTGGGGTTGAGTGCGGTTCAGTGGGTTGCGGGGCCCATGTTTTGCCATAGGACGGCGGCGTTGGTGGCGGTGGTGGTGTGGCTGGGAGGGCAGGTTGCGGCACAGCTGTCAATTTCTCCGCTCGTGCTGGCTCTCCTCGCGTCCAGGTTGACCCCTCTTTGGGACCAAAGCTGATTTTTCAGGCACCTCAAATGTGCGGCGTTGGTGGCGGTGGTGGTGTGGCTGGGAGGGCAGGTGGTGTGGCCAGCTGTCGATTTCTCTGCTCGCGTTGGCTCTGCTGGCGTCTAGATTGACCCCTCTCTGGGACCAAAGCTGACTGTTGAGGCGCGTCAATGGAGAGCAGGTGGAGGTGCAGCTGTCGATTTCTTTGCTCGTGCTGGCTCTGCTGGCGTCTAGGTTGACTCCTCTTTGGGACCAGGGCTGATGATGATCCTTCCGCAACAGCTTTTGAGGCGCCTCCAAAGTGGCTGGGAAGGCCGGTGGTGGCACAGCTGTCGGTTTTGCCGCTCGTGCTGGCCCTGCTGGCGACTAGGTTGATGTGTCTATGGCACCAAAGGTGCTGATGAATCTGCAACAAATGATTCTGCAACAAGTGCTGTGTAAATATTACCGGGATATGTAATCGCTCTATGATGTGCCTCATGTCATGTGCATCCAGGCCAACACAGGAGATGCATGGTTAGGTGTTTTTTATGACTTGGCCTAAATTGTTGGGCTGCTGCCAATTCACACTCATAGATGCCCATGACCACAATTCACGCATGGCCTATACATACGTGTGTGTGCAATACCCTGGATGCCTTCTCCAGTGAGCCGCACAGGGACTCGTGATGATCCCCTGGGTTTCAAGCCGGCAGCCCAAATTGCACATGTTTTAAAAAGTTGACGGGAGGGGAGTTTTACTGGGTTGGCTGAGCGTTACGGATTTCGTTGAAGTCGTTTGTTTCGCCAAACCCAGCCAGCCCCTCGTTTTTGCCCTTGCGTGAGTTTGTGAGACCCGAAAGTCCCAAATTGCAGCCGCGCTTCTTTTCAAAAGCTTGCAGAGCCAACTTCGTCAAGTTTTAAAAACTTGACTCGCGCGGTCCGCAATTTGGGCCGCGGGCTTTAAGACACTCTCTGGTTATTGTACACCCATGGATTTTATTTACCTATGCTGGTGGTGAGGTGAATGTGATGTACTTACCTCACTTGGAAGCAGAAACACACGAGCAGGCCCCACGGCCGAACAGCTCAATATGGCGGGCAGAGCTTGAAGCCTATTTTGATTAGAATCATGCACGTGTATTTCTATATTGCAAAGCGTTTTGTTTCGGTAGTCTCCAGGATTGCACATGTTTCGACAGTTTCCCCGCTGACAGCGCGGTTTCCAATCCGGTAGCCCGCCATTTCCCCAGGACCCCGCCCCCCTCGCCCGCGTGCTCCGCACATTGCGCTTTGCTCTGGGTTCTAGAACGCTCTCCTACACTCTGGGGCTTGCCGAACCATTTTGCGTGGGGTCTGTTGGGGACGATGGGCATGGGCCTGGTCGATTCACGGACATTTTTGTCAGAAATTGTATTTCTATGTATAACTGCATATTAGCTTAGTTAGTGTAGTATCTATTTCATTGTTGGTGGTATACCCCCCTTGGCCACCTTCCCTTGCCCTATTTCTTGTAACTCTCTCCATAGTCAAACCCCTTCTTGCTTGGCCAAACATCCTCTCTCTTCCTAAAACCTAATTTCTCCTAAGCCTACTATTCTAACAATTTTCCCGTTATTCCTGAGATTCTAGGGTTAGGTTTATCTCAGGTCAGATATTTTCA